ATAAATCTATACCTTGCCACGTAGCTCATGGCTTACCAGCATCTTCACATGCTGCTTGTCATGGCGGCAGCTGGCAGTGTCTCCCTTTGCCTTCCTGTTCTCTCCATTCTCCCCTCTGTTAGTCCTGCCTACACTTCCTACCTGGCTACTGGCCAATCAGTGTTTCATTTATTGACCAATCAGAGCAACACATTTGATGTACAGACCATCCCACAGCAGTTAAAGCCTTCATAAATCACAGTAGTCTTTGATGAAATGAAAGAACTCATACTGAAGGGAAATCTATGAGTATAAAGGGTTTGGTAAGATATTTAGCCAACAAGTTTACATTTAGCTACACAAAATTATTGTTGAGAAAAATATCTGACAAGTGTCAACAACCTACTCAAGGATTATGATGTCCCTCTTTATTTTGTCTGCACCTACAAACTCATGGACAAAAGCCCTGAGAATTTAGTTAGTAAGGCAAACCTTTTAGATATCACATTTCCCATCAATTACCCAGAGTAAACTTTATGAATGTATACTAGTCTCTTCTCTTCCTGTGATAAAACACAGTGTCTCAGGCAACCTATAAAAGAACTTAATTTGTCTTATGGTTCCAGAGTAAAACAGGATCATCATGAGAGAGGCATGGAAACAAATGTCAGACATAACAGCTAAAGCAGGAAGCTCAGAGCTCACAACCTCAACCTGAAGTTTGGAGCACAGAGTGGGAACTGGAAGTGGTGTGAGGATTTAAATCCTCAAAGCCCACAACCAGTGATAATCTTTCCTCTACAGTGTGGCATTTTCTAAACTTTTCCAAATGATACCAACAACTGAGAAGTATTGGTTCTCTAACTTGGAAGCACAAATGCTTGCTTTCTGTTATATGAACCAATTCATGACTTAACAAAACTCTGTACATAAGCCTTTGAAGGCCTCAACATCTGGGTCACATGAATGAATGCTTACAAAGTAAAAGTGGTCATGAGTGAAAATGTTTGTTTAATGCATTGTTTTAATTTTTATTTTGTTATGACAGTGTGACTTTAGATATCTGCATGTGCTTGATGGTTCCCAAGAGCAGCAGACAGTGGAGTATTCCTGGATTTCTAACAGGAATTACAGGAAGGTGTGAAAAACCTCACCTGGATTATGAATATGGAACTTGCCTTAACTGCTTGGTCCTGTCTTGATCTCTATAAATATTTCAAAGCCTTTATATATCATGTTGTTTTTGGGAAATAGCAGAGTACTCATACATGAGAAAAATCCTATTCATGTAAACAATATGGTAAAACTTTAGACATCAAAGTTGTCTTCCTTCTCAAGGAAAAACTCTTGTTGCATCTCTTTTTCACCACAGCCTTGAAGAAAGTAAACTATTTGCCAGGTTTGTTCAAGTTTGATGGTGGAGGACACAGTATTGTGGTTTGTATTTTGAACCTTTTGCAGTAGGCATTGAAGTGTCTGTGTATGTGGCAAATCCACTTACTGAAGTTTATTTAGTGGTTCACATATTCCTTCTTTGACTTCTGTTCATCTGTTGTGCTTTCACTTGGTAGTAGGTATTTTCTGCTGAAATGTATAGAATGGGATGTCTGTTATCTATGTGGCTAGCTCAGTCGGTAGAGCATGAGACTCTTAATCTCAGGGTCGTGGGTTCGGGCCCCACGTTGGGTGCCAGATATTGGAGAAATTATTTTGGCCACTCCACGTAGTTAAAAGGATATTTATTTAATGGCGTAACTCACAAATTAAGTAATGGGTAGGTCGCAGGGTCTGGGGAAGGTGTAACGCAGTCCAGCGGTGTTCTCCGGAGCTCTGCACAGTCAATCTGCACCGGCCAGCGTCCCGGCACCGAGAGCGCCCAGAGCGAGCGCTGACCCATCCAGCTCTCAGGTCCCCCGGTGCCTCCCCTCGCCCCGCCTCATAGGCGTGACAGTTGCCAGAGTCTCAATGGGGGTTGGAACTTCCAGAACCAAGCTGGAATGGCTACCCACTACAGGGATGTCCGTTATCTATGTGGTCTATTGTTTACTAAGTATCAGACATTGTGTGATCACACTGAAGGTGTCTATGAAAAGGTGGTGGGTTGTTACTACTTTTGGTTTTCATATTTTCACAAATTCCCAACAGATGTTCTTTGTTATCTATCCCAGATTGGATGTCAGTAATTAGTCAGGGCTACATTTGAACTCATGATTCTCGTGTGTCAGCCTACTGAGTATAAGTCCATGGGTAGAAGATGTAACTTAATGTGTGCTCTTTTGTCAACGTGTTTCAAGAATGTTAATGTTGAAATGCTTAATAGAAGAAAATATATGAAACTTTAGACACTTCATGTATCTACAGGAGCACAGGACAATTTGAATAATGAATCCTATTTATAAATGAATATGGTATTTATACTGCTGTCTTTTTTTTCTTTTTGGATTGTGTTAGTTTATTCTGAGGAATAAACACCTGTTCATAACACTTTCACAGAACTAGAAATTAATGCCAGAGAATATTATTAGTGGGTAAAGTTGGTTGCTGTTAAGTCTGATGACCTGAGTTGAATCTCTGTGAGACCACTACTCCTTCTCCAAGCTTTTCTCTTATTTTTATACTTGGGCTGTGGCATGTGCACAACCAAGCACCAACCCATAGAAAAAGAATTTTTAAAACCAAATAAGGCTAGTGAGATCACTTGTAACTGAACTTGACTACCTACATTTGATTGCTAGAAGTCACATAGATGAAGGAGTAACTGTCAATTGTAATTTGTCCTGTAAGGGATCCATGCACATCATGGCACACATGTATACAGAGTTAAAAGAGCTTAAAAAGTTGAAACTAACAAAACAAAGAAATTAACCAAATTTTGAGAACATATGGAACGATTTAACAATTAAAATTAATACACTGTACAATTTTAAGAAGAGTTACTGTTCCTTAAAACAATGATGGTTCCTGTTTAAAATTTGCACTATCATTTCATTCTCTGGTTCAGACAGGTCCTCTAAGCAACATATCCCAACCAGGCATGGTGATGTATGATTTTAACCACAGCATTTGGGATACAGAGTCAGTAGGATCTCTCTCACATTGAGGCCAGCATGGTCCATATAATGAGTTGTAGGATAGCCATGGCTATCAAGAAAGATTCTATCTCAAAAATTTGCCCCTCCAAAAAAATTAAGAAGAAAAATATCATAACTAAAATTGTGGAAATTTTCTTATATACTCTGGTAGACTACTCAACAAAGCCTTTATTTTTCTTTATCATATTAAGAGAAGTGTGTTAACCATGACAATGAGAAGTAATGTAGAGTGTCCATTCACAGAAATCCATTGAATCCTTCAATGACTATGTAGCAGGGCCTTTCATTATCTTCAAGTGATAGATGACAGGAGTATTGGGACATCTTCATCTTCTACAGTATAATGACATATTTGTTATTTGGAGAGTTGGGTCAGTAGTAATGCTCCTGTTAGGTATCCAAGTTTGCTTCCTACAACCCATGTCAGATGGCTCAGAGCCACCTGTAATTCCAGGTCCAGAAGAGATGATGTAATCTTTTGGCCTCCTTTGGCACTGGGTATGTAAATGGGGTCATGAAATATAGGTGACTTCATGTTGGAAAAGGTTTACTTTGTATATGTGTTAGTTTTTTCATTAAAATTAATTTAGGTGTATAAGTTTTGCAAGTGTGTACACCAATTTAATGCCAGGTACCAATGGAGGTAAGAGGTTGTCAGATCCACCAATCTCACAGGATAAATGTGCACTGTTGCTCTCTAATTACAATCACAGTGAGACATTCTTAGCTTTTCATATAGTTTTAGAAACAGCTTTTCTTTTATAAATAGTTGGGAGTTTTCTTTCAGTGTGTTGAATTTATCCTGCAAATTGAATATGTCCAACATCTTAATATTGATTCATCATGTTTATAAGGATCCTCTAATGAATCCCCATTTAATTAGTTTTTTTATTGTTTTGTGAATATGTGAATGAGTTTTAGTTTATTGCATGAAATGTACTTTGGGGCTGGACAGGTGGTTCAGTGTGTGCTCTTCTTGGGGCTGACCTCTTTTCACATCCAATACCCATGTTCGGAGGCTCATATGCACCTGCAACTCCAGATGCAGGGAATCTGACAAACTGGTGTCACCTGTACACATGAAAGACATTCTTCCATCCATTCAACACACCTAAAAATGGAATTAAAACTATTTTTCAAAAGTGCTTATGGCTTATAAAGCAATTGGTGCAAAACAAGTTGCTTTAGGTTTATAATAAAAATCATACAAATTTTCTTTTAAAATCTGTTAACTTGCAATTGGTTTTTAAAGGTTTGTATTACTTTATCTCATTGTGACACAAAATTACAACCATTAATCATAGAACATATAAAATAGCTTCTAAGTGATCACAAAAGGTAGCACTCCCATGTTGAATTAACAGAGTTATCAAGTAAGTCTCAAATTTTGGAAGAAGAACCCCACAAACACACCATTTATATGATTACCTGACAGAGTACTAGAGTGCAAACAGTGAGTGCTAGGATGTGGTTTGTTCTTATTGTTTTATTAAAATCTTGTACTTCTTTGTTTAAAGGACCATGATATATTTGTAGGTTTGTGTCTTTCTCCAGTGGTGCTGTCTATGTTGTATTTTTAAAATAATTATATATCTCATTGTTCTTTTTCCAGAAAAAGATAGACTTTCATGTATTTTTATATTCTGAAAATTAGCTATAGTAACTTCTTAGTCCCTTGAAATTTGTTGGTTTGGGGAGTTTCTATAGAGAAATAGTTGTATTTTTCTTTTCTCAATCTCAGTGGCTTCCAGTTCCCCATTTCTTAGCATATCTGGATTTCCTAATTTTTCTATTAATCAAATTTATTCACTAATTTTACATCCTGACTGCAGTTTCCCCTCCCTTTTCTCCTTCCATCCCTTCTCCCCACCTTCCCTTCCCCCTTCCCCCATTGACTACACTTTCTGTTACTATTCAGAAAGGAACAGACCTCCCATGGGTGTCAACACAGCATGGCACATCAAATCAGGGTACAACAAAGCCCCTCCCCTTTTTACTGTTAGCCCTCTCATCTTCCAGTTCCTTCTGGAATAGCCCATTAAGATTGGTGTAGAGCTTACAATGGCTTTTGATATCCAAAGTCCTGTATAGCTTTCTGAATTCCTCAAAAATACAACATTTTCAGATTATTACAACAACAGCCTCATTTAAGGGTACCAATTTTTGTTCTAGATTGCTTCTTTGTTGCTATGATTAAATATTTTTATTAAAAGCAACTGAGGTGATTGATAAGTAGGCTTACTTAACTGACACTGCCAGGGCACATCCAATCATTGAGGAAACTCACAAAATATATTTAGGTTAGTAACTGAAGGTAAAATCATTGCAAAACATTGCTTGGTGGTGTGTTCTCTTTTCTGCTTATGGTCTCATGCTCAGCTAACTCTCTTATCAAGTCTGGGCCACTTGCTTAGGGGCTTTTCCATGCTCAGTAGTTTGCTGTGGGATGTTCTGTATGTCAAATGTGTTGCTCTGATTGGTCAGTAAATAAAACACTGATTAGCCAGTAGCCAGGCAGGAAGTATAGGCGGGACTAACAGAGAGGAGAAGTGAGAGAAGTCAAATCTTAACACTCCTTCCATTCAGTAAAATATTGTTTATTCCCAACCCCAAGCCTGAATTCTAGGAATCTGATGGCCTGGAACAGTGACTCTTCTTTCCTGAAAGCAGTATGACTTCCTCCTTCCTTTTCTATGGACCAACTGTTTTCATACTCACATAATGAATAAGACTGTGAAGTCTGACTCTAGATTGTGGGGAAAAGACACAGACACGACTTTCCTTAGGATAAAATCAAGTGCAGTTCCTGTCTAGGTAAGATCCCCTTTCACCAGCACACCCTCCTGAACAAGAGAAGTTTGCCTTGTCCAGACTCTTATTTGTAACAATTCACAGGTTACTCTAAGAACACATAGCTCACCCAAGGAACCACCTCAGATGGCCTCACAGGATAAATGCTTCCCAACAGCTTCTGAAGTGGCCCTGTGCCTCTGGAACTCTGCAGTTCAGCAAAAGAACCCCAGAGATGGAAGTGTCTGGATATCACAGTGACAGTGGTACCAGGAAGTTACCAGGAAACGCATAACCAATCTATATGCAGAGCAAAGATGAGAAATGCTTTGGGAAAGAAAATAGTATCCCTTTGCTGGTCACATCATCCTGAGGGTTGAAACATGTGTTTGACATGAAATTTGAGTGCATCAAATCTCAATAAATGGACACTAAGAACAGTCTATGTAGAAAGAGCTCTAAAGAAAGAGACAGAAAGAGATAAAGAAACTGAAGAAACAAAATATTTCACCTAAGGAGAGGAGGGGCCATGTACTCTGGCTACAGACTTCGTTAATATCACCTACCCTACCCTGACAAAGGAGATTGAACAATGGGAGACTTCAAACTTGGGTTTAAGTCCCTATCTTTCCTCTGCATACATGGCATTGTTCACTGTATCCCTCCCCAAGAAGTCATTGAGACAGTTTGGGAAATCTTGGATGAGGTCTAGTGGAAGTAAAGAAGTTAGTCTCTTTGGTGGAGTTACGTCTGACTATCTAAGATGATGCCATGAGATAATGCTTTACTGAGTAAAAGTGCCACAAAAAACTACCAAAGTTTTATTAGAATGAACTCTTTCAACAAGTTTTCTTTCCAGAAGTTTTAAATTATAGTCCATATGGAGGGTGACAAAACCATCTGATCTCAGCTGACAGCATGCTTACCTGGGATAATTGGGGCAAGAAACGTCTTGTGTTTGGGAACTAAGTTAAAACTCCTGGGTGACAATACTTGGCTTCCACAGTTACAATTACACCCCACGAAGTTGTCTTCCAGTCTCCACATATGTGTCACAGCCCAAAAACCATAATATAACACATATGCACAGACACACACACAACAGAATTTCTTTTGAAATAAATCTCATTACCATTACATTATCTGGCATCTCTGGATAATTACCTTAGAATGCAGTACTTCAAGATGAAATATCAGATGGATAACTAATGGGGACATGCAGACATGTGAAACTTCAAATAATATATTCATATCCATAGCACATTAAGCAATGTTGTAAAATACACAGTTGACTGCTGATTTTCCTACATTATTACATCTCTACCAGATATATGAAAATGCTGTTTGGAATCACATGAGGTATTTAATGTTTCTTATATTCTCTTCTATTAAGCATTTTAACATTAATATATGTTTGAACGTGCTACTAAAACAGCATACATGGCGGGGGGGTACATCATCTACCCTTGGACTTGTACTCAGGAGGGTGACAACTAAGGATAATGAGTTCAAATATATCCCTAATTACTGACGTTGAAGCCAGACTGGATAATAAACAACATCTCAAGGGAATTTGTTAAAATACAAAAAACAAAACCAGGAAAAACAACGCATCACACTTTCACAGACACTTACTTCAACAATCACATACTGCCTGATATTTAAATAAACAATGGACCACTTAGATGATGGGCATCCCATTCTATACATTGCAACAGAAAAATACCTATTACTAAGTGAAAGCGCAACAGAAGATGAACAGAAATCAAAGAAAAAAAAATAAGAACCACAAAATAAACTTCATTAAATGGATTGGCCACACATATACCACATTTTAGTATCTATCTCAAATGTGGCAAAATAGAAACCCATGATGCAATGATCTCCCCCATCTGTCTTGAGTCAACATGGTAAATAAATTACTTCCTTCAAGGGTATGATGAAAAAGACATAAAACAAGATTTTTTTTGTGTGAGTCTGGAGATAATTGTGATGTCTAAAGTCTTAACCAAATCATTTACCAGAATAGGATATTTCTGTTGTATGAATTATTTCCTATTTCCTGACATCAAGATTATATATGACAGCTTTGAAATATTTACAGGGTGATAGACATAGCCAAACAGTTAAGAGAAGTTTCCAGGATGAAGCCAGGTTTTTAACAACTCCCTGTAATTCCTGCTAAAAGAAGATCCAATGGCCTAAACTTCTTGATCCAATGGCCTAAACTGGAAACCAGAATGCACATACCCACAAAAAGAAACAATGATATCATATAATTAAAATTAAAACAAATCTTTAAACAATTAGATTTATACTCAAGAATGTTTTTCTCTTGTAAGCATTTATTCCTGTAACCCAGGTGTGGAAGCATCAAAAGGCTTACTTCCAGAGTTTTTCTTCATCATGAACTGGTTCATAAAACAGAAAGCAGGCATGTAAGCTTGAAGTCAGAGAAATCAATCTTTCTCAGTTAGTAGTATCATTTGGGAAGATATGGGTAATGCTTGCCCTGCTGGAAGAAGGATGCCTCTGGGGTTGAGCATGAGTTCACATCCACATACCATTTTCAGTTCCCATTTTCACCTTCATATCGCAGGTAGATGTGAGTTCTTAGCTTCCTGCTTTAGCTGCCATGTGTGACACTTGTTGCCATGCCACTTTGATGGTGATCCTGTATCCCTCTAGAACCAAGGGCTCACTCATGAGTTGACTTAGACATAAAGTTTTATCACAGCAACAGAAAAGGCATTAATACACATCCATTAAATTTTACAACTGGATTGTTATTTCATGTAATTTAAGAGAACTGTGGAATTTAAAAGAGTTACCTCATCATTTAAATTCATAGTTATTTTCATCACATGAGTTTGTGGGTGCAAATAAAATAAAGAGAGACATCATAATGCTAGAACAGATTGGTGACACTGGTCAGATTTCTTCTCCAGAATAAACTTGTGTAACTGAATTTAAGTCAGTTGGGTAAAGATCTTACCAAACTCTTTATGGCCAGATTTCCTTAAGTATTAGTTTTTTTCAGGTCCTCAAGGACTACTGTAAAATGAAAAGACTTTAAAATACCAACTACACACTGAAATTTTACTCTTGTATTAAAGACTAACCTGAAGTGCAAAACTTTGCCACACTCACTACCTTTCTAGGTTTCTCTGTAGTGTGATTATTTTTTTCTGATGATTTCAAAGACTGCTGATTCATGCAAAGGCTTTACCACACTGATTACATTCATAGGGTTTCTCTCCAGAATGTGTTCTCTCATGCATTTGATGATTACTGTGTCATGAAAAGGATTTATCACATTGATTACATTTGTATGGTTACTTTCCAGATTGTGTTCTTTTATGTATTTAGAGAGTACTGTCACATGCAAAGGCTTAAACCACATTGATTACACTTGTAAGGTTTCTGTCCATTATGTGTCATGACAAGTCTTTAAAACAATGATTGCATTTATAGGGTTATGCTCCAGCATGTGTTCTTTCATGTACTCTGAGATTATTGGCACATGCAAAGGCTTTACCACAATGATTACATTCATAGGGTTTCTCTCCAGTATGTATTCTTTTATGTCTTTGGAGACTACTGGCACTTGCAAAGGCTTTACCACATTGATTGCATTCATATGGTTTCTCTCCAGAATGTATTCTTTCGTGCCTTTGAAGATTAATATGTTGTGAAAAAGCTTTATCACATTGACTACATTTGTAGGGTTTCTCTCCAGTATGTGCTCTTTTATGTATTTGGAGACTAGAGGTCCATGCAAAGGCTTTATCACATTGATTACATTTGTAGGGTTTCTCTCCAGTATGTGTTCTTTTATGTATTTGGAGAGCATTGTGTTCTGAAAAGGCTTTATCACATTGATTACATTTGTAGGGTTTCTCTCCAGTATGGGTTCTTTCGTGTATTTGTAGATAACTATGTCGTGAAAAGTCTTTATCGCATTGGTTACATTTGTAGAGTTTCTCTCCAGAATGTCTTCTTTTATGAATTTGGAAAGCATTGTGTTGTGAAAAGCCTTTATCACATTGATTACATTTGTAGGGTTTCTCTCCAGAATGTATACTTTCATGTCTTCGGAGATCAGTGGTACATACAAAGGCTTTACCACATTGATTACATTTATAGGGTTTCTCTCCAGAATGTATTCTTTTATGAATCTGAAGATTACTGTGTCCAGAAAAGGCTTTATCACATTGATTACATTTGTAGGGTTTCTCTCCAGTATGTGTTCTTTTATGTATTTGGAGATCACTGTGTCGTGAAAAGTCTTTATCACATTGATTACATTTGTAGGGTTTCTCTCCAGTATGTGTTCTTTCATGTAGCTGGAGACTAGTGGCATATGCAAAGTCTTTATCACAATGATTACATTTGTAGGGTTTCTCTCCAGTATGTGTTCTTTCATGTATTTGAAGTTGACTGCGTCGTGAAAAGTCTTTATCACATTGATTACATTTGTAGGGTTTCTCTCCAGTATGTGTTCTTCCATGTGTTTGGAGATGACAGTGTTGTGAAAAGGATTTATCACACCGATTACATTTGTAGGGTTTCTCTCCAGTATGTGTTCTTTCATGTGTTCGGAGACTACTGGCACTTGTAAAAGCTTTACCACATTGATTACATTCATAGGGTTTCTCTCCAGAATGTGTTCTTTCATGAATTTGAAGATTACCATATTGTGAAAAACCTTTATCACATTGATTACATGTGTAGGGTTTCTCTCCAGTATGTGTTCTTTCATGTATTTGGAGTTGACTGTGACTTGCAAAGGCTATATCACATTGATTACATTTGTGGGCTTTCTCTCCAGAATGTGTTCTTTTATGTATTTGGAGATCACTGTGTCGTGAAAAGTCTTTATCACACTGATTACATTTGTAGGGTTTCTCTCCAGTATGTGTTCTTTCATGCAGTTGGAGACTAGTGGCATATGCAAAGTCTTTATCACAATGATTACATTTGTAGGGTTTCTCCCCAGAAAATGTTCTTTCATGCATTTGAAGATGACTGTGTTGTGAAAAAGCTTTTGCACATTGAATATATTCACAGGGTTTCTCTCCAGTATGACATTTTTTGAACCTGTAAAGATACTTAGCACATGTAAAAGATTTATCACATTCAGTACACTGATGAATATTTATATCTATATGAGTTAATTTTACAATTTGGTCTAATTTTTTAAGACAAATAAGATCTAAAAGTGTACACTCATACTGCTCCCCTTCATTTTTGTATGTTTTGTGTCTTTGAAGGTATCTGTAATGATAAGAGCCTTTATCACAGGGTCCACATTTGTAGCATCATTATTCTATATGAGATTCTTCACATATTTAAAGAGAACTGGAAGAACTCAGAGCTTTAACATACTTATTACATTCATAAATTTTCTAATAGTGAGAGTCATTACTACATTTACAAAGTGAACCAGGACAAACAGACATTTTTATACATTCCAATACCCATAGGGCTTTTCTGCAGTGCAATTTTGTTTATGTATTCTCAATGAAGTTGGAAAATCAATTAATTTTAAACTTGTATCACATTAAAAAATTCTACTCAAAGTGGGGACTACTACATATCTTCTAATTGTTTTGTTTTAAGACAGTTATATTGCTTCCGTCCATATCTATCCCTCTGCTCACATGGCTTTTATTCAGAGTGAAATATTATGTACTGATAAAGGAAAACTAACAAACAAAGTTTCCACACTGCATCCACATAGCTTGATTTTCTCTTCCTCAAAGACATGTGGTATAGAGATTAATGATTCTCCACCACAACTTTCTTGACTCTCATAAACTAACCCTCTCCCTAAACTTAGAAAAATCACAAGTATATGAGTAACACTCATTTACTCTGAACTATTTGCTTATTAGAACATTTTCAATATATACTTATTACCTATTCAACACATATTCCTTTTGCAATATCCGATTGGCATAAAATTAAACAGATTGGCTGATCTACAGCAGAGCTATCATGGAGCTGTAATTCAAATGGGGATATTTAAGGCATTGTTTCCCTGTGATCTTTCTCAGAGCAATGCCTTGCAAACACATATCAGCTCCCTGACATTGAGGTATTTGGTTTTGTGAGAATTTAACAATCATCAGTACACTTTAAACTGTGCTTATTTACATTGTTGCTTCTGTTTAAAACTTCTGGGACACATTACAATTTCTCCATAGGCTCATTTGTTCACCTAGCACATGAAAATTACCTTCCATTTCTTCCAGAACTTTCACAATGTTCTTCAATATTATGATCTTCCCAACTGCAACCTAAAATACAGTACCAGAAAATGTATGATATATTATGGGAAACTGTGCAAAATTTAAGTTACTATCTTCAGTGAATTTTAGAACCATGCCAGATTTATTCACCTCATTCTTCTCATTTCTCAATCAGAATTACAGAAGAGTATTAATAACCAAAGAACAATTGTCCCCTTATTTTAAAATGTGATGAAAAATTCAGTCTTACCTATAGCAGTGAGGTTTCTGTAGGTCTCCCACATTACATCTTTGTAGAGATTCTTCTGGGGAGAATCCAGCAAAGTCCACTCCTCCCAAGTGAAGTCAATATGCACATCATCATAGGTCACTGCAATCTAAAATATCCCATACAACAGAAAGTGTGATACTGACAGCATGGTGATGTGTATTTCTTTGACAATATATTTGTATAATTCTGGGGCTCCCCACACTTATTCCATGACACAGACATTCTAATCATCAATTCATTTTAGGACAAAAATGAACAATTAGGTTCACCTCTGTCATTTCTTCACACTTTGTCTAGGATATAGCCTTGCAGGAGAAATGCCTATTAACAGAGATAAAAAGAGAGGCAAGCAAACAGATCAAAGTATACATCAGAGAAAGTGAATGAACATTTACTAACTATAAACAAGATGGGCAAGCTGGGTGCATTGGCTCATGCCTATAATCCCAGCACTCATGAGGCAAAAGAAAGGTGAAATTAGTTGAATTGGATGCCATTCTGCCCAATGCAGTTAATTTCAGGATAGCCAGTTACATATTAGTAAGACCCTGACTCCCCCATAAAAATAAATTGTACAAAAATGGTAGAAAGAACTCCCAGGTTTTTATGGAAGTTCCTACAAAGAATTATGCATATACTCCAGCTCTGTTTTCATCTTCCAGAAACCAGTTTAAACTATAACAATAATAAAATCTTGCTAAAAGGGAATGCATGTTTATAGTTACAAATGAGCAAATGCAAAGATTAGCAATGTAAATGCTGATCATAAACAACATAGGACAGTAGAGATGACTCAGCATTTAAGAGCTCTTGCTGGTCTTGCAGACAGGTAGGCTCAATTGCCAATACTTACATGGGGGCTTACATCTATCCATTACTACAAGTTCAGGGGTTGTGAAACCATCTTCTGATTGCTGTGAGGACCAGACACACATGTAGTGCAAATCCATGCATACTGGCAAAAGATAAATATGCATTCAAAAGAACTGAAAACCAACACAATAGGTAGGAAGAATGTCACACACTTGCAACTGAATGACTCAGAAGGCTTACACAGCTTTAATGTCATGAGTACTGTCATCCTGAGAAAGAGAATAGTACACTCTGCCAGATTTGAAATTTCAAGCAAAACAGGGTATGCTTGACATGTACAAAAACATACATTCCAGGCCAATCACATAATAATATAAAAAAAGCCCAGGCATGATGGCACATATTTAATCACAAGACATAGGAGCCAAAATCTTTGGATATCTGAATTTAGGCCAGCCTGGTCTACAGAGCTACTTTTAGGATAGCCAGGGCTACACAGAGAAACCTTCTCTTCAAAAACAAAAATAAAATCAACAAAATTGACAAAAACTCAGGTTACAAAATGGCTTAGCACTGAATAGCAATTGCTTCAACAGTATCATATGGGATTTAGTGATATCACCTATAATCTTGGTGAAGTCATGACAGCCAGACACAAAGAACATGAGCTAAGGACAAGGGCTATGGAATGCTCAGGTGATTGGGCTGTACCAGTGCCTGTGCTTGAGCCCATCTGGGCTGGCTGGGAAGATGTCTGTGTGACTGTGCTGTGGTGTGGGTCTGGTGACTTGTTCATTGAGGACGTTGGTGCTGGGATTAGGGACACAGTTGCTGTGTCCTTTCCTGAATCTCAGATGGGGCTATACTATGAACAGTTCTCCTTAGAGTGGCTGTGGTTGGTGAAGAGGTATTTGTAACTGCCATACTCATCATGGGCAAAAGTTTGTTTGTGTAAGTGACTTTGGCCAGTGTTAATGAGAGTGGAGTTAAAGCTGACTTCTCAGGAAGAGTGGGTGTCCCAGTTCCATATGATGGGATGGCATCCTCTGGTGTGCTTAATGGTGTTGAAGGTATTGTCATGGTCCTATTTGTTTCTCTGAGGCCTGGAGACACTGATGATCCTATTCCAGTGTTGATGGACTTTGGTGGTGATGGAGCTGTAACTAGAGGCATGATAACACCAGAAACTGTGCTGTCTGGTAAGGTGTCTGGGCTGTGGTGTGTTGCTTGCTTATTGTGGAGGTTGTTGCTGGGGTTAGAGATATAGCTGCATAGAAAATGGGTTGAGGCTATAGACACTCAAATCCCTTCTCCAATGAGGAATTTCATCCAGAAAGACTCCTCCTACTAAGGGTTCTATAAGCACACTAAACAAAGATATCAAGGAGAGACAAGTATTCAAATACACCATCCTATCTGGGATGGTTTTCATTCAATCGAATACATTCTGACCTAGGTCACCTCATGATCAAAATGCATTTAGTCTATCTTCAATGATCCTCATTATCTTTAACAGCACCTACCCTTTCAAATGTTCAAGGTCTCTTTGGACACCTTGGACACAAGGTGATCACTTGACTCTGACATCTTGTAAAATCAGAAAACATGTTATATCTTTCCAACATACACTGGCACAGAATACCCATTACCATTCCCAAAGAGGGCCTGGAACATAGTGAGGGAAGACTGGACCAAGGCAAGACTGAAACCCAGCACGGTAAACACCAAATCCTGTACTTGTGTCTCAGACACATGGAGCTTCAGTTTCAAAGGGCTTAGGTGTCTCATTTTCCCAAAAATTTCTCATATATCTCTTTGTGGCTACTTCTACTCCCTATATGCAGCTCTCCATGGCAAATATCTCATAGCTTATGTATCTCAGTGTCTTGTGGTCTCAAAATGCAACCTGGGCTTCATGCTCAAAGTTTCAAGCAATGAACTTTCACAGCATCCTCACTGGGGCTCTGACTCTGCCAAACATAGATGACTGCAAGAGCGCTGAACTGAAACCACAGACCAGGAATCCATGACCTGAGATTTTGATTCTTTCTTGTTTCCAGAGCCAGCACAAATTTTGCTTCCTATTCAGATGGACCTTGCCAAGCTTGGACCACAGTTGCAGCAGGTTTTGTATGAAGCTGCTTCTGGGTGATAGGAATCACTTTGCCTAATCCTTCCATTAATTGAAGGCAGAAGAGGATGCCCTTAGGGTACCTATATAGGCTTCCACTGTAGAAAAGGGCCTACTCTTTAATGGTGATCTCCTTGAAAATACCTGCCTCTGTTTCAGCACATGACTGCCGACTGAAACTACCTTTTGTTGTCATTTATTTCTGTCCAACTTGTTGCCTTTTTTCACTGTCGATCTGAATGAGTCACCAGTAATAAGCATCTAACAGATTCAATATTCCATCTAAGAAATCAGCCCATTTCTTTTTAATTTGGCCTTACTCAATTTCTCAGGGCAAGGACAGAATAAGGAAGATTCTAGGGCCGGGCGGTGGTGGCGCACGCCTTTCATCCCAGCACTCGGGAGGCAGAGCCAGGCGGATCTCTGTGAGTTCGATGTCAGCCTGGGCTACCAAGTGAGTTCCAGGAAAGGCACAAAGCTACACAGAGAAACCCTGTCTCAAAAAACCAAAAAAAAAAAAAAAAAAGAAAGAAAGAAAGATTTTAGGCCAAAATAAGACACAAATGACGTCTAGCTTAATCTTTCATGGAGTCTATTTCTCACTAAAATCTATGACCTGACCTCCTCTGTGTGCATTACTCTCAAAAGTCCCATCTTCCTTGTCCTACAAGAACAGCCTATTGAGCTCTGTGTGAGCTTTCTATGACTTTTGTCATTTAAGTCCTGATATCTTCTACATTCTTCTAGAAGACAACATTCCCAGGCTCTTCCCAACAATACAATCACTTTTGGTGTTCCACTTTTTGTTCTAACTTGCTTCTCTGCTGCTGTGATTAAATCCTCTAATCAAAATCATCTCAGGTAAGTTTATTTAGCTGATTCTGCCAGGTCACAATCCATCATTGTGGTATAGAAAATGAAGATTAAAACCACGGGCAAACACTGTGTCCTGGCCTTCTCACTTGCTTTGTCACTGTCTTGTGCTCAGCCAGCTCTCCTATCCATCCCAGGTCCACTTGCTTAGATATTGCCAACTCACTGGAAGAGCCTCTCCACATCAATCATCAACACAATCTCTTTAAGACATAGCCATTCCAGACAACTATGAAAAAACCAGTTTGAACATAGTTAAGCAAGTGTATTTGTGGCAGGGTGGAGGAGAATTTGGGGGGGAGGTTTATGCACAAGAGTCATAAGCTGGGTTTTGAGGTAGATAGATTCCCGATTATCAATGGAACTGCCATATTGATTTCCATAATGGCTGTACAAGTTTTGACTCCCACCAGCAGTGGAGGAGTGTTCCCTTTGTTCCGCATCCTGGCCAGCATGAGCCATCACTTGTGTTATTGATCTTAGCCATTCTAACAGGTGCAAAGTGAAATACCAAAGTAATTTTGATTTACATTTCCTTGATGGCTAGGGATGTTGAACATTTCCTAAAGTGTTTCTCAGTCATTTTAGATTCCTCTATTGAGAATTCTATTTAGATATGTACCATATTTATAATTGGATTATTTGGCTTGTGGATGTCTAGTTTATTGAGTTGTTTAATGTCTTGAGCAAGGTAACCCAGAACCACATAGACACACATGATATGCACTCACTTATAAATGGATATTAGCTGTCAAGTAAAAAAATAACCACAGTACAATCCACAGACTCAGAAAGGCTAAGTAACAAGGATGGCTGTAGAGGCAGGGGAATGCATGGATCTCCCTGGGAAGAGGAGATAAATAGATTTTGTGGGTGGACTGGGGGCAGGAACAGAAAAGATCAGGTAAGTAATGGAGGGACAGAGTGAGAGAATATAAGAAAAGGTGAGTGCAATAGGGGAGCTTTTGGGAGTGATGTGGAAACCTAGTATGGTAGAAATTTTCTGGAAGCTATGAGGGTGACCTTAATGAGGACTCCAAGTATTTGAGAATATGGAGCCTGAACTAGCCATCTTATATAACAATGTAAGGTTCCCAGTGGTGGGAATGGGACACCAACCCAGACACAAAAATATTCAACCCATACTTGTCCTGTCGGCAAGATATTCTGGGGCAATGGTGTCTCCGAGTTTGTGTAGTAACCAACAAACTACTGGACTAACTTTAGGCCCAAGACCAAAGAGGGAGCCCATGCCCAACACTGCCTGGATGAACAGGAACCAGAAGTTG